CTTCCCTCTTCATTTTATTACTCTATTTACCCCGTCTGATCGCGTTACATCCCATTCCTTGTTTCGCAGCAAACATTTATTTTTCCAATGGAGAAGAGCTGCTGTTAGTAGTGGTGATCGATAATCGTCACGCCCATTTCATATACCCCTAACCATTTCCAAATATTATATTTTTTATTAAACTTCTCGAAAATTATTTGGTTATATTTCATAAAATATATATATTTTACGATTATCGAATATATTTGTAGCATAATATTTTGGCATATATTTTTTCGACGATAATTCTATAGGATTATTACATGAAAACCTAATACGTTATATTTTTTATTCCTGTTTTTTTTTTTTATTTTATTTTTTACATATATATGTATGTATGTTTCGTTACGGTATGTAGCCTTGGTACAACATACTTCTACGAGATTTTCTAACACGCGTATAAATATCGGTACAAAAATCAAAACGCGTTGGAAATCTCTGTAATATTATTTGCTAATTTTGGGAAATATTTGTCTTTTATCTTTTTTTATTTAAATTCCTCCTCGGTTAAATATTCTCCATTTGGTTCTTTTTTGTTTTTTATTTTGTTATTTTTTGATAATGATATAAAATTTCAAACGAGATGAGCCCCCTATATTTTCTTTTTTTTTTCACGAGCTTTCGGAGTAAAACGAATCTTGATAAAATCGATCGTGTTCGATATACACTGACACGTTCTGGACTTGTTCAAAACGCGAGGTTCAACGTACCGTTCTATGGGAATCGCGACGTTCGATCGAGAACTTTGATAATTGGCAGTGCTTTCAAATCGAGCTATGTGCTCTGCCAGAGTCCATTCAGCTGAACCGATAACGTCTCGTCGCTTTGATGCCTTCGTAAAATAAAAATAAAAAGAAAAATAAAGAAGATAATAAATATACAAAAATATAATAATACAAGGAAAAAAACAACCATTAACTACTATTAACCATAAAATGAAGATTACAAGAAGAAGAAGAAGAAGAAGAAAAACAAAAGAAAAACAAAACAAAACAAACGACATATTCATCAATTTTTTTTTTCTTTTTTATCTAACAAGCGTGTTATCGTATTAGAATGACTCCTTCTAACGTTTACGTTGCAAACGAATGCATTTAGGTCAGGCGATAGTTAACTCGCTTCTTTTTTCTTATTTTTTTTTTTTTTTTGTTTCTTTTTCTATTCAAACACATTGTCCTCATATTTTTGTACTTGACAAATTTCTTGAACAATTATTGTCTAAGCACATTATTTAAAAGAACTTCAGAACACGAAGGATCATTTACTTAAACATTTAGCTGAATCAACGAAATTCCAATAGTGAAGTGATTTCTAAAGAGAAAAGTGATATCTCGAAGATGCCATTGGTGTGGGAAGAATAAGGGGGAGTCACAAAAAAAAATAGAATGAAAGAAAGAAAGAAGGGTTGAAAGGTGCTTTAGCACGATCGAACGAGTCACGGTTTCGAAGATAAGAGTTGAGAGTCACTGTCTTAAAACAGCACTGCGTGTACCAGATCGATACCTACGCCGACTACCCTTAAACTCTCTCAAATACAGACCAATGTGAACGCAGAAACCATGTTTTTTCCCTCTTTCTGTCTGTCTCTCTCTCTCTCTCTCTCTCTCTCTCTCTCTCTCTTATCCTTTTTTCATTAACAAAAGTAAATTATCTAAAGTGATAAAAATAAGAAACAATTAAGCTGTCGAATATATTATCACTAACCAACAATTATTATTTCCTTCTTGACGCACATGAATACACAAAAAAAAAAAACAAAAAAAAAAAAAGAAAGAAAAAGAAAAACAAAATATAGAAAACAATGAGAACAGAAAAATTTGCATGAGAAATTAATTTTTAAATTAATTAATACCGCTTAACAGACGTAGAGAGGAGCAGCGTGCCATGAAAAATATGCCAAAATTAAAAACATATTAATTTCGTTGAACACAACAATTATTGATCGAATAAAAATGACAAAAATAAAATCAAACGGATCGTGTGTTTTTCCATCTACTATAAAAAAAAAAACTAATACTCTCTCTCTCTCTCTCTCTCTCCCTCTCCCTCGTTCTCTTCCATTTTTGCTCTCATTAACACCTTGGATGCAAGTAGTAGTATAGTTCATCGTTGAAGGAGTCAAAATTACTGACAGTTCGTGCACGAAAACAACAACGGGAATGACTCTTCTCTCTGAGGGAAGTTTGCAACGCGATATGAAGGGCAGACGCCTCGTTTGTTTCGTCACAATATGTGAGGCTCTTATTTACAGCACAGCCCTCTCGAACCTTTAAAACGGGGGTGTCAGGCTCGTGAACAGAAGAGCCAGGTCGTGGTAAGGGTGGTGTGCAAGGTGAGCGAGCTTGCTTTTTCGCTATCTTTTTCTCTTTTTCACCCTCTTTCGTCGTATATTTCTATCTCTGTCAGATTTATATACATATATATATATATATATATATATATATATATGTATATATACATATATGCATGTAGGTATGTATATACATAGAGACGAACGAACGCATAGAAAAAGGAAGGAAAAAAAAGGGTGGTGGCATGGTGTTGGTACCTATAACGCGAGAAGAGAGAGAGAGAGGAGGGGGTGGAAGAGGGAAAGAGGTGGTGGCATGAAATGTGGAGTAATAACGCGCAAGAGACGAAGACGAGAAAATATCTCGCTTGGAGCTAGGAGGAGATTTTAAGCTGCTGTTATTAATACCGAAGAAGTCGTCGTACTATAAGCAGTCTTATAGACGCTTTTAACTTTCTTTCTCTTCTTCTTTTTCTTCTTCTTTTATTTTTTCTCTTTCTCTCTTTCTCTCTTTTATTTTCCTTCTTTTTTCCAATTTTTTCTCCCTTTTTTTTTTGTTGCTCATAATATAACATAATATCTATATTAAAAAGTTTACAGTCTGAATAAATTTAATAATAAATTTTATATATAGATATGGTGTTTAGTTATATTAGATTTAGATTTTTTAGTTTTTTTTTTTTTTTTTAATAGGAATACAAAATTGTCGTAATATGATAAGAAATTTGATTTGAATTAATTAATTGTGTATGGATTTATGTAAATATATATGTATATGTATCGACGAATTGTGTGTGTGTGTGTGTGTGTGTGTGACGTTTCATTTTAAATAATAAATTCAATATTAATCGTTTGCTTCTTTTTTTGCTATTTGATTACGACGAAAGATAAATGTATGATATTATTCGTAACGATTTAATGTAGAATCTTTGTTTTTTTCTAACTAACAGCGAAATGTTTCTTTGAACCGAAACGTTTGGAAGGGGTGGAGGAAAATGATCGAAAAGGGCTGAACTTTATCAACCATCCCCCCCCTCCCCAAATACTTGATTTCTTTTTCTTTATCGAACACTTACGTAGAAGAATAAAACCACATGACTGGTATGAAACTGATAGGACGTTGAGCTTTCGCATAACTATTTGATCGAGTTCGTTCAACCCTCTTTAACGTATATATACGTATATACTAAGAAAAATGCCATTTCAGGATGTTTAATCGAACGTTCAAATCATGATTTACACTCAATTTACTTTGTCAATGCGTATTGCTTTACGACCTGGAAGAAAAAAATTAGTTTCTTCTTTTAATATCCTTTTCTCATTAATTCTGCTTCATTCTTTTTTCCCTTTACATTTATATTTAATGATTTCGATTCAAAGAAACGGAGACAAAAACAGATTCTACTTTTTACAAAAAAAAAAGAAAAAACCAGAAAGAGAAATGAGAAAATAAGAAAAAGTTTATTTGCATTCTATTAATAATAATTAAGTTACGAATTAATATCACACACAATTAAATTTGTAGAAATCGTTATAATTTATAAATATGAAAATAATTATATATATATATATATATGTTTAAAATATTATTTGATCGACATTAAATGTTTATTGATTAAAGTAATTTTGAACAATCGTATTTGAAATAAAAGGTGTACCCAATTTATATTCATGCTCGATGGAATATACAAGTATTGTAATAACTTCATTCGTACAATCTTGATACCTTTTTATGAATTATTTTTAAATCTATGGAGAAGAAAAAAAAAATAATTAAAAAAATTTTGTAAAGAAGAGGGAGAAATTCACGACTCAAAAGTTTGACGATATTTTTCATTGTGCTTTCGGTACCAAACAAATCTCTCTTTTTCATTCCTGAGATGAATTCAACGAGAGCATCGATTTCATTTGCGGCTGGCTGAGCGAAGTTTTCAATAATAAGAGAGAGAGAGAGAGAGAGAGAGGAAAAATCCACGTGTATTGGAAAATCACTTTCAAATCGTACGCTATTTTTTTTTTCTTTTAGTTTCGAGTTTGGTAAGTTCCACCGTGAAATTTAAAAAAAATATCTAGTAATTCGACCGTGGATTAAATATTCGCGAATTCAAATCTGTCATATCAATAGTTTGAAACAAAATAACCAAATAAAAAAAAAAAAGAAAAAAAAAAGAAAAAGAAAGAAGGAAGCAGAGGACTCTCTGAGAATAAATAATTATAAATTAAATTAAATTAATCCATATTATAAATGAGAATATATCCCTTTTTTTCCGTAACGATACAAATTTATTTAACGTGAAAAAAAATTAATTTGATTAAATAGACGCGAAAAGTATACGGGATAAAAAAAAAATTGAATTATTTCCTTTTTGCTTTTTTTTGTTGTTTCGCGTACTAATTGAAATAATAAAATAAAATAAAAATGTCTTATACGCGCGAAATGTAAATGAATAAACCCCCCGTGGTAATTTATTTCAACAGTTACATTATAAAGAAGATGATTAATTAATGAATTTAACGAATGGGGGGTGGGACCTAGCTTGACGTGTCATTAAAAAAATAAAATACATTAGTCATCGATCGAAATTGATTTGACTATTAATAAAACATACGAGGCATATAATCATTCGTTCGAGTTATTTCGATTTGAAATTAGAGGAAAATTCGGACTCACCTCGCTACGATGACCACGAAGGTTGTAGTTTGCTCGTAACGGAAGTTCTGCAGCTCTGGTACGACAATGCGAAGTAGTAAATGTCACACCGACAAGACCACGAGCATTCCCGGTAGCTAACCAACCTTCCTGATAGTAATTTGTACGGTCAAGCTTCCATCCCTCGTCCTGAAACAGAAACAAAAATATTACTACGTGCAGAATGTGTACGATTTTCAACGTAATAATTAATTAATTTACCGCTATGAAAACAAGCCAAAAAAAGAAGAAAGAAAGAAAAAAAAGAAAAAACACTAAAAAGCAATATACTGTAATTATGATAAATACTAATTAGTGTATTTTCTCATTACTGTGCGTTCAATTTGTGTGTGAATATTAATTTATATATAATGTTATAATTTTATGAGTATTATATAATAATATATTACTTGAAATATAATTTTATGTTCGTGAACGTGTAACATATATGAAGGAACTATGAGAGGTAATTATGCGATAATGTAAATATGTATGATATATATATATGCTCGTTAATGAACAGACGTATTAAGAAATAATTAGAAATACAGGAAACGTTCGATCCATTCACCCAATTACGATTCTCTAACCTTTCATCGAAATATCTATTTCTTCGTGTATGTGAAACGTTTCTATAGATATATAACATGGGCGAACAATGAAAGTCTATTGTAAATGAACAATCAACGTGGTAGAATTGATGAGTATGATCGAGTGAAATACGAATTTTCTTTTTTTTTTATATATATATATCTTTCTTTATCCCAAAAACTACACGTAATTACACGTTTTTAGTATTTGACAAAAAGAACAAGTACATTGAGATGTGTAGTATCCGTTATCTGATATCCCTTTAATGGGTAGAAAAAGACGGATAGATGATATAGGCAGTTAGATAGAAAGAGACTAAACGAAAATCGTCTGGGTCACGACTGCTGTTTGAAGAATATTCGATTACGAGAAGCCCGACGACGTATTCGCTCACGGCTATACGGTGAGTTAGGGTGGTGCTACTAGTCCGTTGCCAAGGAGAAAGATGAAATTCTCGACGGAAATGAAGCCGAGCGAAGGTTCGTGTTGCAATGAAAAACGAGAGAGATAGAGAAAGAAAAAGAGAGAGAGAGAGAGAGAGAGAGAGAGAGAGAGAGAGAAGGGGTGAACACATTTAGTAGGCGTTTCGTCCAAGAAATTTAATTGAAGAAAGCACCCATTCTCGTGTACATATGTAATTGGCCAATTACCATCTCAAAAAAAAAAAAAAAAAGAAGAAAAGGTCCTCCCCGTTTCATTTCCCCTTTCTTTTTCTTTTCGATTGAAAAAGGGAAAAAATTTACCGAACAATTAATATTAAATTTAGAAAAATACGTATAACTTTGTTTTACGAATCAGCACATTGGGGGTTGTATAACATTTTTCTTCGTATTTTCCGTTTCATTGATATTTTTTTTGTTTCTTGGTTTTAACGAATAAAATATATTATCGAATGTGTACCACACACACACACACACACACACACACATACACATACTTTAGTTCCGTTAACGATACTCAAGCACCTGAAAATCGCCCTCGTAAATTAACCCTAACCGAAAAGAGAGAAAGAGAACTTTCTCTATTGCGGGGTAAGTAGTAAACTCGAAGAACAAAGGGCTTCTGGGTATAACTTAAAACCAGTAGAAGAACAATGGACGCGTTTGACTCGTCCAAAGAAATCGCCGCGGAGAAAAGGGGGGAAAAATTTTCCTAAGCCGATCTTTTCGTTCGTTCGTTCGTTCTTGTTGAGCTTGAAAAGCTCGTTCGATAAATCGTGTCTCCGTGAAAGAGTTTATTTTCTCTCTTATCTCTTTCTCTCTCTCTCTCTCTCTCTCATTATCTTCTTGTTATTATCGAACGGGGGTGAGATCCTTCTTTTAAATTATTCAACGATACCGTTTTAATGCCAGTCAGTCGATTCATTTGCATGTTTCCAAAACAAGATATAATAGAAAAAAAAAAAAAGTAATGAATACATTATTATTTAGGAATATTATTAGAAAATGCATAAACTGGAAAATTACCAACAATATTTGTTGTCCTTTCTTTTTTTTTTTTTTTTCTAAATTTCACATTAACATTTTTTTATCGGTAATATTATCTAACTTTCTTGGCTTCTAATATAAATTTCTTATTAAAAATATAAATTCGTTGAAAGTCTCGCACAGAGTTAAACTCAGTCCATCGTTCAAGTTTCTTCATTAAAAATTTCCGCTAGCATGAAAAGACATAAATATATATATATATATATATATATATATATATAATATATAATTTATATTGTGTTTTTCGTTAGTAATAGTAGTAGTGGGTAGTAGAAAGAGAAGAAGCAAAAAAAAAAGAAAATAAGAAGAAGAAGAAGAAGTTGATTAGTGACGTAGATTTTGCGGATAGCGTGATTTCATGAAAGATTATCCAATGGAACTAGTGGAAAAGGAACGAATAGAAAGAAGAGAGTATTTGGAGTTTCTCACGAGACGACAGGATCGTTAAAAGCAAAGCTTTTCTAATTTTCTACGGCCAAGCACCTCCTACCATGCAAACTCGCGTGTCTAAGCATCTACATACTATTACCAATGCAACATGCTAACCTACGAATGAGAAATTTTTTTACTGTTGGAAGATGGATGCAAGAACGATGGAAATAAAATGCTTCAGAATGCTCCAAATGAATGCTCGAGACGCTTTTTAACCCTTTTCTATATCTATTTCTTTTTCCCTCTTTCTCTTTCTTTTATTCTTTTCTCGGTTCTTTCTTTTTTTTTTTTTCTTATTTCTTTCTTTCATTTAACTCAGGGAGGTTGCTGAAGAACGACTAACAATGGAAACTGATTCGAATACGTATATATATATACATTGACAATTAGAAAAGAAACGTCTAATTTGATTAAATTCCATTCGAGCTTGTTATTTCTGATCATTTGTGAACGTTTTTTTTTTTCTTTCTCTTCTATTCTATAAAAATCTTCTCCATTTTATTCTTCCAATAATTTCCATTATTTTCTTTGTTTTATTTAAAATTTATGATCACAGTATATATATATATATATATACACATGTGTGTGTGTTATTAGAAATGTGATCAATTAAATTACTCGAGGTAGTTTAATTATCACCTGTCTCGAGTAATTCAAAAGAAAAGATTTTGTTGTTAACGTTCTTCCTCTATTATTCTCTTATTCTTTATCTCTCTCTCTCTCTTTGATTTATTTTCTAACTCAAATTAAGCAAAAAGGTAGAGGATAGGAGATTGTTGTTATTTAAATTACATTTAATTGAAAGTTCGTTTAAGAGACAAACTTTTAATTTTCTCCATTGAAGGATGATAAATAAGTAGACAAAATTAATAGAAAAATGAAAAAGGGAAAAATTTGCAAAATATTTGGTTGGTAATCTAGCAATGATTATTTTGACAAATACAATATATACTCGAAATATAAGAGAGATGGAAAAAAAAAAGTAGTCGTCGATCACATGCTTGCGATAGGAGGAGGACGGTTTTCCTCATCGAGAAAGGCAGGTGCTTCTTCCAAGTGGTATTATTCGATTTAACCGAGAACAATGGTTCTGGCATCACGATCGATTTGAACACGATCCACCTTGCAAGTTTATAACACAGCCAGTCAAGATTGTAAAACGTTATCCTTTCTGCTATTACTTGTCAAATTGTTTTTTTATCATTTTCCTAACATATCTTTTCTTTTATTATTTTTTTCCCACAATTATCACGCGGCTAGATAAATATTTCGATTATATATATACATATATATATATATATATAAATTATATAATATATAATTGATTGGTGATAATTAGTGGTAGACGAGGGGTGTGTTAGGAGTAAATCAAAAATGAGATAATTATAAGTGAAATAATGATAAGACATTGTAAAAAACTTTGT